GCTCTTCCGATCTCCCCAAAACCCCAAAACCCCAAAACCCCTTTATTCTATGTTTATTGTAATTAAGTTTGTCAATAATAATATTATGCAATCGATAAGTTGTTCTTTAACTAAAAAAGTGTTTCATTGCTACCCACATGCTACATCATAGTTCTAGAACCTGGCACAGCTCCCCTGCTAGCGTGATTTAACTCAGCTCTCATTCCACTTAGCCATCTTTGTTGATCGGTTAAGAAATCCTTTATTTTAGATTTATTTTCCTTTACTTTCTCTATTTCTCTATCATAGATGCTATTTAAAGTAATACTATCTCTGTATTTTGATCCACTATGTTGATATTTTTAGTACAGAGACTTTGGCTTGAAAAGATCTCTCTGAGGATTGAAGCTAATAATTGGAGATAAATCATGGCGAGCTTCATCAACAAGGTATTCTCCCCATTTATTCTGCAAAACTTGCAAATCTTAATTCCTTAAAGACTCCTTATTTTTATTTGACATTCCCTCATCTTTCTAATAGAGCTTTAGATATTTGTCATAGTCAATTTGGACATCTTTCATCAATACCTCTTTTCTATCATCATCTAGGTCACTATCGTACTTATCTTCTCCTCTAATCATATCAATCTTCTGTTTGATTGTTCTTAGCTTCTCCTCTTTTCTCCTGTAAAAATCTGCCTTATCCTTAATCTAAGATTCCTCATCTTCTAATATATGAGCCTGCTCATCAATTTTATCTTTAACACTTTAAACTGCTATCCTTCTTGTATGAGAGAGACTAGAATTTGTCCCCAAAATATCTTTTCTTAGTTTCATTCTATTTCTTTCCACATTCGCAATTAATTATCTCAGAATAACCCTATCTTAATCATGCTTTTCTCTCTTTGCCTTGACCTATGGCAAATTAATCTCAACAAATGTCTCTATCTCAGATAAATCATAATCGAATATCTAAGATTTATCTGACTAAAACTTATTCTTGAAATTTAAGCCTTTATTGTTGGTCTTAAAGGATTAAGAAGGTTGGTTAAAAACATTCTGCTTTTAATTTTTCAAATCCATTATCATAACTTTAACTTAATCCAAATCTTTGACTATGTTATGAAAATCTTCTCCAGGAAGATGATGAGAAGCTCTATCCTAGCTTTGAGCCTTCTTCCTTTGTTAATCTTTTTTATCTTTTATCATAAGCTGGATTCTATCAAGTTCCTCTTATTTTTCTCTGAGTTCTTTCTATAGTTATTACTCTTTAACATTATGCTAAAAGCTAGTTTCATTATCAGTTGACTTAACTTGTCTATCTTTACCTCTCTTATCCATTTCTAAGTCTGCCACCTCCTTCACTTTAAGCTTATATTCTCTTTGCAATTATTACTCTTTAAGTTCTAGATCTTTTAACTTAGTCCTAGCATTTTATATTTCTTTAATAATTGCTTGATAATTTTGACTCTTCTCATTTTCATTGTTTAAAAATTCTTCTTTTTCTTTTTGCCATGATTACTCAAATTCTTTGTCAATACTTTCCTTCTCAACTCTTATCTTATCTTGAGATTGCGTTTCATACTTGTCTTGCTGCTATTTGATCTCCTATCTTTGCTTTTCAAAATCCTTCTCGTTTCTAATTTCCCTTGCTTCATAGGTCTTTGCAATTTATCTCTTGAGATCATTCTTAGCTCTATCAAGTTCTTCATCAGCCTCAATCCTTTTTTCTCTCATTTACTGATTCCATTCCTTCTCAGCTTTTTTCTTATCATCTTTCAATTTACTAAGCATTTCCTTTTTCATTGCCTCCTTCTTATCATCAATCTTACTTAACTCAACTTTCTATTTCCTTATCTCTTTATCTTTTTCTCTTTCCAGTTTTATATTAAAGTCTTAAGCGATCTTCTCACGTTCCTTTTCGAGTCTCTTTTTAAAATCTTGCTTTAATTCTTTAAGTTTATTTCTTTGTTCTTCCTCTAAATCATACTTTTAGCTTTCTATCTAACCTTCAAGCATTTCAGACTTGAATAGTCTGACTTAAAAATCAATATCTCCTGATTCCTCAAGCAATCTATTATTATCCTCCCTAATTCTATCTCTTTCAATCTCAAGTCTTTGCTTATATCTTGTTTTGATGTTGTCAGATTCAAGTCTATGTCTATTTTCTTCATCACGCTTTAATTAGTCCTTCTTCTTATCAAATTTAGATTCATTTTGCTTTTCCTATTTTAATAACCTTTGTCTTTCTTAGTCCCTTAATTCTCTCAATCGTTTATCTTTTTCAATCTATAAATCTGTCTTCCTTCTTTGAATCTAGTCATCACTACCTTTCCCCTAATTTTTAGCATGAGCTTTCTTCAGGACATCAACTTCCATCTTTGCTTCATCAACAATCTTTTATTTAGAAGAGGCCTTATCTGAATCTAGCTTTTTTAGTTCTTCTCTCTTTTTCCTCTCATGCTATATTTTCTTCTCTTCATAATCATCCATTATTTGCTCCAACTCTATTTAGACTTTCTCATTGATTATTGATGTTGACATATCTAATCCACTCATATTCATCATCAAAGCCATCTGATGAATAGATGTATTCCCAGGATTTGACACATTGTTAGCATTTTAACTGGTTGAATTCATACTAGTTGATAGCTTTACTTTCTTTTACTGCTCTTTAATTTATTTCTTAATAATCTTTTCTTCTTTTTTCTTTCTTTGATTACCCTTTTCTCTCAAATAGTAATTCTTATAGTAATCATCACAAGGATGCTCTTTTTGTAATCCTCTGGTATCAAAGTTGTAATAATAAATGCTTCCTCCTGGTGATCTACAGGGTTTCCATGGATTAGGTAGTGGAGCTTTAAGACCTTCCTTGGCGATGTAAAATAAATCTCTATCATCATTCAAATCCATACCGAGATACTTAGCATATTCTTCAATTTCTTCGCCTGTAGGTTCGTAATCTTCATCCAACTCTTCTTCCATAATCTCATAACCCTCTCCTAATGCTTACTCTGCTCTGAGTATTTCAACATTTTACTGAGTTAACCCTCCAGCTCCCTACATTTGTAAAGCTTATTGATACGCCTATGCCTCTTCAGTGTCAAAATCAACTTCTTCATCATAATATTCATCATCGTACATCAAATCTTGATTATTGGTGTACATTGGATTTCCTACATATGAATTAGGTTATCGCTAGTTGTAAGCCATTCCCGAGCCGATTCCAGAGCCTTTCATTGCAAATTAAGCTTATGGCTACATATTATCGAAATTTTTCATATTTTGATTTAAATATTCTAATCACGGCTAATAAGTCAAGCTTTTTTATTTGCTTTGAAACTTAGTTTTTAACTTAATTTATGCAACATGGGGTTTTGGGGTTTTGGGGTTTTGGGG